CACCACAGGGCTCTGCAGCCTCCCAGACGATCTGGAAGATTTGATCGAGCCAGGACAAAAGTCCTCCGCAGGCTACGAAGTTAGTTTCCCAGGACGGGCTAACGAGAGCCCGCGGCGAGGAGCACCGCTGTGTTGGTAAGGGCCAGCAGACCTCACCCACTCCTCCTTTGGGGGCTACCCCCTACTCGCATCTCTGCCTGCCTGCCTGGAGCACAGCTACTTTTTTTTTATTATTTACATCTACGGTACTGAAATAGCAAAGCAAACCCCATGCTAAATACGCAAAGAACGCAGACATTAACTATGAGCACATGCCAGTATTATTTGATAATTACTCAAGACACACCAAAGGATTTTTTTACAAATGCAGACAACACGGCCATCCTCCTCCAGGCAACAGTTCTGATGCAATTGCTTCACCGCTGGCTCCCCATCACCTACTGCTGCACTTTGTTCCATCTTTCACATTAAACCACTTCTAGGAAAACCACTCTCTAAGGAAAATACCATACTAGCACATGCACAAAAGCACTAAGGCTGACAAAAAAGAAACAATTGGAAAAAGAAACAATTGGGCTGTGTTATCTGGATTGTCTTAAAAGAATAATAATAAAATGGCTTCAGAAGGAGTTTTCTTTTGCTAAAATGACTCATACTCACCACTTCCAAGGGTGTCAGCCCATACTGCATTGATTCTGGGAGTCCAGCAAAGGTGTAGAAACCATTAATACAACAGAGACCTTCTAAAACACTCCCCCTTGCAAAAATTGAGGACTAATTCCCCCCCTCCCCCCCCCTTAGCTTTTAGGAATATCCTGATTAGTCTGGGTACTGCTTGTCTGGGAAGTTGACAGAAACATCCTTCAGAACTACAGGCATTATGCTTCTGTAAGTAAATATTTATAAACGTAAATGAATAGTTTAGAGATGAGATTGGGTTCCCAAGACCAACATTTGCTGCACTTATGATTGTCCTACTGCAGCGCATTAAAATTCCCCACGACGGAGACTTGTGGTGACAAAAATCTGTCAAAAGGATCATCAAATATCAGGGTGCAGGCATTACTCTTAAAATCACAACTCTTAAAGATTCAGCGAGCGTAACAGGAGGCCTGGTTTGCATTAGGACAAAGTCATATCCCTGAAGCAGCAGTAGAGATCACAATCCCTGAATCTCAATGCTTCCTTTTGTGCCAGTCCAAGGGAAAACTTCCAAGTCAATAAAAGCAACAAGGATCTATTTTGCTGCTGTAATTATTTCAGTGTACAAATCCACACCGAAAAAGAGCTTTTAAGATTAAAGAATAATTGACACAGCTGCAAAGTAGCAGCCTTCACTAGTGGTGAAAATGAAGCAATTTTTTTTCTAAAGTTGTACTTTAGCATGAATTTTAAAGATGTCTGTTATAAAAAAATGGACTCATTGCTTACTAAATACTCCAGATACTGTTGCCTATATATTTTGCCTCTCCTCCCTACCTGACTGTAGATTTTCGATGCCTGATTCATCAGTAACAGACTCGTAAGTGGTGTTAAAGAGTTTGTTTACTTTTTATATCTCACAGCTTCCTGTGATCTTAAAGCAGATGTCTATCATGATGGTGCCTGCTTTTAACTCGCTCAGCAAAAGGCAAACTCTGAGGTTTAGCTATTTCAACCTCAGGAAAAGCTGGAGGTTCACCACATTTATTAAAACTACTAAGTTGTAGTCAGTGCAATTTACAGTGCACCATTTTGCACAGGAACTGTGACAGCTGCTAACTCCTCTACAGCTTCCTTTGCATTTTGAAACACACCTCTAAGCAAACAATTTCCAGATGTTTGTCTTTGCCCTGGCTTTCCTTTTGCCTGACAACCACATTTCTGCCTAGCATCAGCTGTAACTTCAGTGTATTCCTTTCTTTTGCTACCAAGAGACACAACATAGTTCTAGTAACCTTCATCTTAAACTCTTCCCTAATCTCTGCAATTCTGCTCTGTTTATTTACAAACTCCCAGATACATATGCTACTGGTTTGTGTTCTGTTCTCTATGAATGGTGAAATTTCCAGAACAAACACTGTATGATTTAAGAAAAATGCCAACAATATAAAGATGAACAAAAACCTAAGGACAGAGGTAACTATAACTCCTTTTGCTCACAATCAACTGTAAGACAAATTAAACTGCTTTATTATGATGTGCAATGTTTAGTGATTGTTTTATTAATGCAGAAATACCTGCTTAACTTCATACCCATTCTCACGTAAAGTGCAACAATTAAATCTGATAGTTCTTGTACATCCATATTTTGCAAGTGTTGTTCCCAGAAGACATGTCGTTCAGATCATGCCTTGCATTTGTAAAATCTGTCATTTTTTAGTACCGTTTTGCTTTATTAACTAAAATAAACTGTACAAAAAGCTGTAGAGTTACATTAGCTTTGAACAATGTAGGATACACGTTCTCTGCCAAACTTTAGTGTGCAAACATTTTACATTTTTTAAAGTGACAAAATTAAGCCAACCTTGAAGTCAGAGTTCATTACCACATTACAAAACAGGAGACTAGATACGGCAAAAGAAATTCCCCACTGAAATCAACACCATTGTATAATTTTATTTCTAATTCTTAAAAAAATATAAATGAATTTAGAAGAGAATCACAGTATAAGGGCCCTAACATATTAGACCATTACAAGGTACATAAAAATAGAAGACACAGATTTCTTTGAAACTTTAATCCTTTGATTAAGCAGCAAGCATATCACTCTCCAGGCAAACACTGCTTAAAACAAAACCTACCCCCCAGAACAGGACGTGCAAACTGTATGCACATATTCTGCAAAGCACACAATAAAGACATTTTGCTATGTACATACTTATTTAGTACTACAAATGCTAGGAGTTCCCTACTGTGTGCTACAGTGTATGTAAATTAAGAAATACTACCTATCTCTGACCCTCCCCCCCCCTTCAAATACAGCACCTTTGCCCAGTTATAGAATATTTAAACAAGATTAAACGGAATTACAATGTACTGAACAGTTTTATAGCAGTTGGTGGTGGCCAACTGTACTGCAACACCCAACATTCTGCATACTGAAATCTATCGACAAGAGACAAGACAAAAATTAGCAAAGGTACAATACACACACCTGGGAGATCAATGCTAAAAAAATAAATAAAAAAAAAGAAATCCTGAAGATGTATCTATCTTATCACTGTTAACAATTAAACTGAGATACTTAGGATGGCAAAATGTACCAGATCGGTTTTGTATCTGTTTTAAAGTCTGGAGAGCAGCCAGATTTGTGTGTAGCTGGTGAGGGGACACTTATGACTCCCAGAACACAAGTTTCAGTGACCACCAGTTCCTCGGTGCTTGTTTTACAATGCTGCTTTTCTTAGACGGGAGGTCATCTGATGCTCATGCGGTGGCTAAGCATCTACTCTAATGCAAAAGAAAATTTGTAAGAAGGACCTTTTGTATGAGACCTCAGCACACCAGTGAAAGCTGTTCAAAGAGAAAAATCTCTCAAGTTTGATCTGAAAATATTTTAAAATGAAGAACTAAACCATAAAGGTCGACACCTTAACTGCAATTCAGGCCACAACTATCAAACTTTAATACTAGATTTACAAATGAAATAGGATCTGATGCTATAAGAACTTCCCTTTGCACATAAAAAAAAGACCTTAGCCAGCTGCTAAACTGATCATTAGACCATCCAATTCATCTATGAAAGAGCCTAGGGAGAGCACATTCCGTTTTCAAATACAGTCTCATTTTAGTCAAGGGCAAATCTAGTTAATAACAGAATTGATTTAAAAGGATTTTCAAACACCATTTCAGCTATAAGCAAAAGTAATTTTCTACATAGTATGGCAGTCAACGTGAATGTTATTACATAGTTAAGAATGCAGTATTTTTCAATAGCTTGATTCAGATCACACAGTTTCAAACAGGGCTACTCGAATTTGCAGCCTGGTTTACTTGGAGGGTAGAGGCATCTACTCTAAAAAACAAAACAACACAATTAAAAAAAACACCCCAAAAACACTGCTGGGCATAAATCAAGGTTTCAGACAAGAATGCAGTGGAAAGAAAACCTTTCAATTTCCTACAATTTGGAAGCAATAATTAAATACCCAAATGCAGATTTTACTTAGTCAATAAAACAAATCAAACAAAAAACCCCCACAATAGCCTCAACCCAGCTAATCAACTGAACCAGACATAGCCGAAATCAGAGACAATCATTGAACAGTAAGGTAACTACTGCCACAATATTCTACTACCACCACCAGCTTCTATATTTCCCTCATGATATCTCAAGATATCCATGATCTAACATACATGAACTGTAGACAGCCATTCTCAGAGGAATGAAATTCTACTGTACTTAAATTAGAAGAATTAGTGGAATAACAAATTAATTGAATTGTTCCTGCTATATGATTCCTCTCCTGTCATCCCCCTGGCTGATGGAAGTTGCTGCCTCTTCTCTACCCCAGCCCACAAGAGGTATTGCAGCAGGAAACCGGGCTCCTGTTTGCAGTTAACTTCTATGAGTAGAACACACATGAGATTTAGTAAGTTTGGTACAATAGCTCATTGAGTGTTCAGAATACTCTTTCAGAGGAGTATTTAATAAGACAGTACCTTTTTTAACAAGAAGAAGTGTTCTGGGAAAAACATGAAGAGAAGAAACACCTACATTTTACAAGTGCATGAAATGCTTCTACTGTTACCTAAACAGTGCCAAAAATCCTGAACCTAAGGCCATTATGTTTTTGCACTAAAAGGTAAAAAAAAACCCAAACCCTCACACACACAAAAAAACCCCAACGCTACATTTAAGTCTCCTACAATATTATCTATTCCTAGATTTGCCAGACTACTTTCCTGTAGTTAGATGCTTGACTACAAAGAACTGTAATAAAATAAATAGAGTAAAAATCAGTTAAACAAATCTTGGTATGTTGAACATTTATTCATTTAAGAAGTTAGCTTCCTTCCACAGTTATTCATATAGAGGAGGGCTGTATTGTAGGCATTGTTCTGCTGTACAAGTCTTCGACATAAAAATATTTTTATACAGGTGGTCATTCACATGGTTCTGTTTCTAGTTATTAGCTTGCTCCTCTGTAAAATTGGTCTGATACCTGTGAAGGCTTGCTCCTTTCTCCCCTTCATTATTTGGAAAAAAAAAAAAAAGTACATTGATACAATTTTTCAAATGTAGGAGTTAGCATGATTCTGCTTTGTTTCTTCAGTGCAGAGTAGACTGAGATTCTGTCTGAATTCCAATAAGCGAGGGTGGCTGCTGACCGCTAACCGTGGTTAACACTGGCCTTGGGTTTAGGCGAGGAGGCATGGAATTAGCTGGGCGGATGAGCGGTGGGGGAGGCTGATTTAGAGTCGGCCTTGGCTGAATAAATCGCGCCTGCTGTTGAAGTGGTGGAGGCTGGCGATGGAGAGCAGGAGCAGCAGGAAGCGCTGGACGAAGTAAGGGGGGCGGCTGATTTAAAGTTGCCATGGGAGCGGTAGGTGCTGGAGCAGATGCCTGTGCTGGAGGTGAAGGGCCTAAACACTGAGTGGCCGGAGTGCTTTGTGCCTGCACAAAGGACAAAGACAAGACTGCATGAAGAGCCATCCCAGCCAGAACACAATGCAGTTGGGCTGCCACTGTCCACTACACAGGAAATAGCATTTAAAAAAAACAAAACCAAAAAACTGAGAAGTTACTGAAAAGAAATCACCAACCAAAACATTATAGACAGCAGAACTAAAAATATTTATGAAGCAAGAGTCTTCTTCTAGAACAAGAACTGTATTTTAACAATAAAACAGTAACATGATCGTCACTATGAAAGGTGCAGTCCTGCTCCCAGCTGGTTAACGACATTGGCTGAAGTTCTATGCAAGCTCATCATCATTCTTTAGAATGTGGTTTGCCACTCCACACCAGTTAACCTTACATTTTATCACTAAATAAAATGCTGTTCCTCAACCCATGCTTACTTATTTCTGGTACACAAAACACACCTCATCTTCTTCATCAGTGCTCTTTCCTGATGGCACATTAGAAGTATTTTTTGTGTCCTCCCCTAAAGCAGAAGCATCACCATTAGAAGCCAGGGTTCCTTGTTCCGCTTCCCATTCCTGCAATACCTCCTCTAAGTTAAACCGACGCCTGTAGTTTACAAAGAAGTTCTTCACTTGGCCAACAGTCTTGTTGCCAATTACATCTGCAATAGCTTGAAAATCTTTACCATATTTTCGGACACCTGGAAGGCAAAGTAAATAACATAGCTGTGAAGAATCAGTCAGACACAGCTACGTGTGATGTATTTATAGAGAGAACCTATGGGACCTGCAAACCAAGGACTCGCTAATTAGGAGGACTTCTCAATTAGAGGAAGGCCTCTATTTCCATTAAAACAAAATAATTTTTAATTGCACGGCTATCAACATACAAATCAAGAACTTTATTAAAAGGTCATTACCCACTCTTCTTAAAGATCCTGGCTTACTCGCCAAGCCTCCCAACCTAAAACCACAGAGATCTGGCCTCTGACGAATAAAGTAAATCCTTCAGTGTGCTTGCAGTAAAGGGCAGAAGCCCAAGACAAGTTCAAGACGGGAGAGGGAGGGTGACCAAGCATGTGTGTATAGCTGTAAACAGGGTAGAACACTAGAACTGTCAAGTGACAAACACTGACAGCTTCTGTAGGTTCCCTCCATGCCCGCTGCAGGCAGATGTTTCTGTGCCCACCACCTGTGCAGCAGGAGTGGTAGAGGGCAGTAGCTGCTGGACCAAGCATAGGGCAGAACTGGGTGGCACAGCTCCCTACTTCATGATATACTGCTCATTCCTGCGCTTGTGACACGCTCTACTGAGGCTACGAAGAGCAACTGGCAAGCATTCACCTGACAAAGTCTTTTTAAAGCTTTCATTCACCATTTGAGCTGGGTAGAAGAATCTGGGGTTTTGGGACAATCACCTTGGGGACCGTAAGTAAATATAAGCTATTGGTGTCTGTTTATAAGACAGCCCAGCACAAGCCTCCAGGATCAAATCCTCCACCAAGAAGCAGCATGACAGAAGATCTTTGCATCGTTCTTTTCATTCATTTTCACATTGACATCAGCAGGTCACTTTTATTTACAAGCACTTCACAAGAAAATCCCTTTTAAAAGTTCTAAAACTACATTTGCATATAACAAAAAACCCAACAATCCTCGAGTACAACATTCTATAGTTTTTAACCTAAAATTGGAATTATAACCTAAAGTTTACTGATTTTCTCTCAGTTGTATTTAGCGCATGTGTCTAGTCCTCTCTCCTGCTTAAGAAAAAAAATCCTCAAACTCTCCAGCATCCTAAAACATAGCTTTTAGCTGCACAAAATAAATTTTTAACCACAAGTATCCAAAACTTTGGAGACTAAAAGAAATAAAAGTTTATTCCAGACTGAGTAAACAGAAAACTCATTTCTTTGCTCTCAGCTATGCATGAGTGAATTACAATTTGACGACTTCTGTGAAACTCCTGGTAACTAAACTCATTTGGAACATATTACAGTGCTTAGAGGACAGGCACTGTCTCATTACAGGAAAGGAAATTTATGCCCGGTTTAATGCCTCACTTCAAAAAGTGAAGCAAAGGATTCAGAAAGTGAGAGTTGTTTCAAATCTGAAAGCTATGTTCCTTTTCAACTTAATTGCGAAGAGTATGACCTTCAGTTTGTTCTGCTCTTTTCTACTTTCTCTGTTAATAGGGACTTCTGATGTGGCCAGGTACGCTCACTGCAATTTAAGAGAAAAGTTCAGCTCCAGGACAGCAACGATTTCTGTAGTTGAAGTTTCTGAAGCTGATATTTCAACTGTCAAGAGCTCAGCTACATTATTTAAGATCTGTTCTAGGGCATACAAAAGAATCCAACCATCCTGACTGCAACAAGCTTGGAAAGAAAACAAGGGGACCTAGCAGAGCCACATGGGAGGGCACGTATCTAGGCAAAGCACAGAGGGATTTGGCTCTGTGCTTTATCAGTTGTACAAAGTATCAGCTATACTCGTTAAAATCTATGTGCGCCCTCAGAGCACTCCCTCTAGTGTTTTAATATTCTTTGATTGCCCTATTATTACCACCGCTACTAATCTATAATGATCACTACATGTCCACTGCAACATATCTAACATCCCGTACAATTAATCAAGTGAACAAAGTGCCCACCAGAAAAAAGCACATTTTTGTCTGAAACCTAATTCAGACTTTTAGTGATTTCAGCCTTTTCTATTACTATGCTCTCCATACTTCTTCCTTCCCCTTAACCAGTGAAACGACTGAGCCCGTTGACTAACTTCAACTAAAGTTGTCAAAAATACTATTTCCAAGCAAACAGCTTGAAAACAGTGTATCTTGCCTTCACTGAGAGCCCAACTATAAGAAATATCTAAAGAAGATAAATTTCCATAGTTTAGCTACATGCAGCACTACTCATTCTGGATTCTTTTCGGAGTGTAATTTATTACTGCTCTAGCATCACCACAGTGACGTCTACACAATGATGTAGTAAAACCCTTTAATATTCCATCAGAAACAGAGGAAGTTCAATAAATGTTTATGGAAGTTTCATGCATAAGGTTCTGGCATATCTGTAAGAGTTGATGCCAATCCATCATCCCTTTCAAATTGGTGCACATTACTGGCACATCCTTATACAAATTCTGTGCTAAAGAGCACCCAAATTATTTCTAAGGTGTTTCATCTGGTATTCAGTAAGAAAAATTTCATTAGGTTGCTGAAAGTGAAGCTCAAAAGAGATGACTGCATAGCCTCACTTCACATGTACAAATGTCTTTCTCCCGGCTCACTTGAAAGTAGCCCTCATCACGTGAATCCTTCAAGCTTTTCAAAACTTTGCCCAGTTGCAAAGATGTGCTTGAATATGTGCATGAGCGCTATTACCATGTTTCATCTTGAATACCTAACTCGGAGAAACTTGTAAATCCAAGTTGGATGCTGTTTTCACTGCTTAATGTTGTGCAGCACAGCAAACACTACAAGACACACAAAGCATTAGCCTGGGTCCAGAGCAAAATCACACAGCACCACAACAAGGCAGAAATAGTTAACGGCAACCTCTGGGTTATGAGAGCTGCAGTTTCCCTGTGATGGGATTACAGTGCTCCTGGCAACTACCTTACATAGAGTTAGATCCCAGTTGTCCCACCTGTTTTCCACTGCAATGCTATGAAAATCACGCACTGCTTTGCTTTTTCTTTTTTCTTTTTTTTTTTTTTTCTTTTGAACAAGTCTTAAAACATTTTTGAAATTGCAATTTTCATATGACTGAGAACTTTGTTTGAAAAGATGATCGTACTCATACATTTCTATACATAAATAAAGTTTGTAACTCAAGAACACCTCAAGTGCTGAGCTGGCCCATTACTTTCAATAACTATTCAAAGTTGAACAGTAACCTGATAAATTATACTGCGAAAGATTGGCTCAGAGATCATAAGTCTGAGTCCACAAGCCCATCGCAGGCAGCCACACTGCTTTTAAGATTACATACTCAGCTCTATTTTAAGGTGGGTTTTTTCATTCCCTCCTCCTTAGTTACTGCCAATCTCTTGAGATTAGCCCACAGATTACAAGGGTTTTTTCATGTTTAGGAAAAAACGTACCAAAATTATATTACTACATTTTTATATACTACTACTATATTACTAAATTGTTACGATTTCCACGGTTGGATTTAATATCTGAATTCAAGTGAACAAATAACAGAAGTGCCACCTACCTGCTTAATGCTTATGATTTCTGTAAAATTATTAAAAGCCCATGCCAAAATGTATCAATATGTTTGATGAAATAAATCTATTTCAAATGTACAAACTAAACATCTCCATGCTCAAGGCAACTTCCAAGTTCAAGCCTAACACGCATTATGGTAGGTTTTAGTACACCAACCATGGCTACTTTCTTCTAAAACCAGAGTCAGGACAAAAGACAGCATGGCTCCTTCACATATAAAGTCTACCAGCTCAAGCAGTTATTTTGAAGCAAGAGGTCAGGGTTTCAGCCTGAGGGATGGGAGGTTAATACCTACAGCACTCATTCCAGGAGGGAGACTCTACTAACAGGCAGTAGGTAAGGGAGGGATAACACTACTTTGTTCCTGGCATTGAGGTTCTCTTCCATCTCCATTTTATACAGTGGCAAAGGAAGGGGACTAAGAAGAAACAATCCATATAAGCAGCACATGTAAATTCAATGAAAACAGGTTTCTTCCAGGCGGCCTGATTTCTCACCCCACCCTTAAGTATTGAGACTGACTACCTTTACGAAACACAAAACATTCCCAGAGAAGAGACCAGAAGACTAGAACTCCTCTCCAGGGAGTCATCGCCAACTCTCATTCTCTTTTGTCCATGCTCCAGTTTTATTATTTACCTTGTCAGTCACATAGTGCCATAGCTTAACAAAAGCTAAATGCATTCTTATAGATTCTCAACCTGATGCTTAGCGAGAGCTCCGACAGAAAACGCAAGACAGTTTGAATCTTTTCATGCTAAGGCAGGCACAACAAACCTGGATTTTTCCCACTTCTCCAGCAAGCATTCTACTTACTAGACTACCATATTAAAGACAGGCTTCTCCTTCAATTACATTTGGGAACAAAATTTAAAAAGTGAGCTTGTTAGCAATACTGAGAGGATGAACTCAGGATAGAAAACCATTTGGAGATGCAAATCCCAGTCTGAGGCACGTAAGTTGAGACACATGACTTCAGACACACCATGCTCTTCAGCATTTCCATTCACACTTCAAAATAAACCTAACTTTACGTTCAGTCATGTGGCTAATAACCATCAGGTATGGCATACCTGACAACTTCACACTGATATCCCGATCCAATGGAAGGTTTTATACTAAAATTCAGTCTTTCATTTTAAAGGTGAAGAATACAGAGAAATAAAGCAGATGTGTACAACTGAGCTGATTATATTATCTTAAAAAAGATGATCTATAGAAGCGAGTCAGTACGTAAGTGTCTTCAAGGCAGCATTAGGCTCTCCAGATACTTCCTTTGCACATTCCTTGATTAGGCAGTGCATGTTAAAGCAAGACAAGAATCAGTCTTCCTTCATATAAATGAAATAACTGCAAATTAGCTGTATCAATAGCCTACTAGAAAATGTTGGTTTTTTCTCCAATAAGACTGTTAGTCAAGTATCCACATCCAGCTTCAGACTCTTAAAAGGCATCCACTGGGTGGGTATCTGCTCTTTTATTCCCTCATGCGCAGAGAAAAGTAACTGTAAAGTAGTTTTACTTCTGCTTTTTCCTACTTTAAGAACACAGAGAGATGTCGTAATAAGCGTTGGCTTCAAATTTTATTACTTCAACTATTACTTCAGTCTTCCACTTTAGAGAAATTCATTTAAGGTGATTTAGAAGATGATTGAAGGGACTTTTTAGTACTACTACAGTTGTTAAACCCAGCTTAGCTTTTCTATTTGAGACTTAATAGGAGTAACTGAAAGACTAGTGTCATGTTGCTTGAATGAATGCCCTAAATATTCTCACTAGTTTTGCTGTTTTCCCAGTGACTTTCTTGTAAGACCAGATAAAGTTTAGCTTTTCATTAGAGCGAAATACAAACATAAGCCTGAGTACCTCTTCAAATCCTTTGCATCAGATTTCAAGTCGCTACTACTATCAACATACCTTGTACTGCAAGAAGCTGCTCTTCTGTGGTCCAACGGGCATTGATTTTCTGATTAGACTATTAAAATTAGAAAAATGGCACAAAGATCATTAAAATGTTTCAACAGCTGCAAAATATCTGAGCATCAGAATGTCTTTCACTTGCACTACATTTTGTAACATAGGTAAAAATCTCTTGCTTCTAAGTCATAACTTTATAGTTTTAGATTGTTTTCATGAAGACAAACTAGTATTTAAGGATTTGAGCTTAGAAATACACCAATAGCGTTTTTTTTTAATATCAGCTATATCATAACTTACGCACAAGCTAATGATCTTTATGCAGACAGAATCTGAATTTATAGTTACATTTATCTAGACTATTAGGACTTGGTGTCTGGAGTGTTTTGCATTCATGTTATGTTTCATATCTAAGCCTTTAAAACAAGCAAGAGAACTTCAGTAGAAATAAATCATCCACTTTGGATGCTCAAATGTACATATAGTCATGTTTTTACAGACAACATAGAATTTACTGCTAGCTATCTACATTATCTACTTTTAACCAGAAGAAAACCCCCATATTATCAGGGCTTAATTTCAGCTTCCTATTGTCATGAACAGACATGACTTTTCAGTTTTTTCTGCTTCTTTATTCAGCCAGTTGCCACAAAAAAAAGCCTACCACTAATTTCTTGTAAAGAAGCCAGACTCACCCCTGCATGTAATTCAATGGATCCTCTTTAAGCTGCTGCTGAAATGCGAACACTATGCTGCAGCAAAACACATTTCTGCAGCTTCCCACTAATGTAAGTGCAAGGCCACAATTTCTAATATTTATTCTGATTTACCTCAGGAGGTTTGAATTCTTCAATCCCGCCTTCCATTTTCTGTTTAAGTGCACTGTTTACTTGCTTAGCATTTTGAACCTTGGTCAAAAACAACAAAGTTAATCAGCTCCACAAAGAAAGTTGGTCACTTTACACATATATCTTCACTAGGATTGCCACAAGTGTACCTCCTAAGTTAGAAAGAGAAATATTATGGTTTAAGGCTTCACTACTTTTAACTGTTTAAAAAAAAATTAAAAATAATACAGTACAGTTTAGTATGGAGAGAAAAATATTTAAGCCAGTCTTTCAAAAGAACAGTTTGTCTGCAGGAATATTAAAAGTAGGACATAACAAGCACGTTTTCATAAGGATGCATGTTCTTGAAGAATGCAGAATATTCTAGACACAAAACTTGGTTCTTAGAAATCTAAGTGAGATGTACTGTATTCATTAACTTCTTCCTTCTTCAAAAAGCACTTTGGAAAAAAAAATAATAAAGATTTATGAGATATTTCCTGTTAGTTCCTTCTGACAGACTGCTTTTTATTGACCTTAAATCATCATGATTTCCTTTAAGGGTGATTCTTGAAATGATTTTAAAATATTTAAATAAAATATCTTAGTCTATAAAAAGGAGAGAGCTTCCAAATCATATGTATATGTATCTATTAACCATTTAAACTTGACACCAATGCACATAAGGTAACATAGGTAAGAAAATAGTTTGGCATACTATGGTGCACAGCTATTACAAGTGTTCTTAAGTATGGACACAAAAGCAGACAACTCAGTGGAGATTCCAAAGGCTGCATCTCTGAGATCACTGAAAGAAAAAAAGAGAAACACAACCTCAAGGCTGTAACTCACCTACACTTAGGCTAAAGAGTAAAACTCATCTATGCTATTTAGCCCGAGTCCTGCTGTGACAGAAAGAAGCATATTTCTCCTGTAAAAGAATATAAGGGAGCAAAAATCCCATGAAACCCTCTATTCACTCCAGGACTTTGCAACATGGCAGCTCTTAGTGGTCTATAAGGAGGCAGAAATTCCAGGAGATAAGCCTTGACACTGTAGCCCCATCGCTCCTAGAAAGCAAGCACGCACATACTGCTGTACCCTTAGAAGCTGAAGAGATTCTGTGTTTCAACTTTAAGTGCCAAAAGTTAACCTCCTCATGCAAAGGACGCAGGCAATTGTCCTCTTAAAAGTGAAGACTACAAAGCTTTTCTAAATTTAATAACAAGTAAAAAGCTCATCAATTCAAACAGAGAAATTACTAACATGATGCCCCTGCCCAATACTTTCATGGTTTGTGGGGAAGGACATCCAGAAAAAACAGCTACAATTTTAAGCATAACAAATGTAACTGCCTCTGCTTCACTGGTCTTATTCTCACTTATCACGCGAATACTTTTAACAGAGTTAAAAAAAAAAGCCAAATCAAATGTGACTTTGGTTTTCTCTTAGCCCCTAATCTGTAACATTCTTTTCATGCCATACTTCCCCCCTTCCCCCTTTTTTTTTTTTTTTCAAAAGAAGTCATCTTGTGTCACATTATCCACGAGAGCAGATGAACATAAAAAACAAAACCGAAGAATAGCTAGTCAGCTAGTGTCCAGCATTCCTGGTGATAACTGTGGAACAAAATTAGGAAGACTCACATTAAAGAAGTTTCAGAATCTTCACCGATAATCTTCAAAATCATTACAATCAGAACAATCTGAGATGAAAACAAAACAAGACCAATAACCCATGGTACCTGTCGCTTTAACGAGATTAGTTCCATATCCAGCTGTCTAAGAATTGTGTTGGCTGCATTGGGACTACAGGAAACAGCTATCACATCTTCCTGGGTCAGGTACATGCCTTTTGGTGGACGGCATTTGGAACGCTGAGAATGGTGACGATGCTGCAAGCTCTGATACTCTCTTCTACCCAGACCTATTTTGCTGGTCTGAACAGGCTGCTCATTATTGCCCTTTAATTTACAAGAAATAAATCATTAAAGAATAACAGTATCTCGTATACAACTTTATTAAAGAATAAAGTATCACATAGCATTGTAATGTCATCTTTATGACAAAGAAAACCTAAGCTAACATCCTCCTCTGCGTGTAGTATCCAAACTAAGTCTTGCAGATGGACTGATGGAGCATACTAGTCATTTGTTGGATAAGCCCGCATTAGTCTTAGAAAGGTCAGTTTTCAAAACTTTTTAACATGGCTGAAAATACAATAAATGGTATAGAAATCACAGTCCGAATACTGTGAAAGAGGGCAAAAATCAAGAACCTCTTACGTATGCAGAAGGTAAAGAATATGTATATTACATGTTTAAACCAAGCAATCAGTTTATTCCTGGTCAGATATGAAGAGTTCAGGTGACGATCAGGATGGGCAGAGAATGCAAGACTACACTTTTCCCTGCTGTAAGGACTCTATGGAAAGCAATAGTGCTGTTTGCTTTGGGATGGGATTTGAGATTTAGAAGGGAGACGATGGGTGTACTTTTGCAGTCATTATAAAAATCCATGTAATTTAGCAAAGTTAAGCCTTTGCTATTTGCTTTTTTGAAATGAGATAGCAAAAAGATGATGAAGACCTTGTAACTGCTGTTTTGATATGTTTGGACACCTAAAAATTTACCTCTGTCTTCAATGGGCATTGCTGCACAACAGCTATTCTGCATGTATGAGACTCCCACAGAGCAACCAGGTAGGTTCCCTACAGACCAGGAGTAGGGAAGGAAAAATGACTTTCCCTGCTAGGATTTTCCAATTCAAAGCAATGCTTAGTACCAGAACAGAGATGAGATTCTGGCTTTTTGCTACTTCAAGCAGCTCCCTACTGCTCCTTCCTGCTGGCATTCATGAAGGTTAAGAGGAGATAGTCACTTGATCATAGTGAAGAGAAAATAAATTGCAGCAGCCATTATTATTATGTTCTGTAGCATTAGTACAGATCAGCAAACAGTATTTTGCTCTGCTATGCTTGACCTTCTGCCACATTCTCCTCCCAGCTAACGTAACATCTTAATCCAGCCCACAGACTTCTTAGAGGCCATCTTAAAAGCACTTCAGATATTTGTTCTTCCTTGGAAAGCTAATATAGAGCCTTACATATTTGACATCTAAAAATCCCAAGGCTAAGTTTACTTCTGGCCTATTTATACCATTTGGGTTTTGGTTCTGAACTGCTCTTTCTGTATGAAATTGCACTTCCTGTCTGTTCAATCTGGATTTAAAGTGAAAATACACTCTCAAGCTTTTGTCTTGCCAAGATAGTGTTTGGCTTGTTTTAGTTTTCCCTGGTAACAGAAAGTTTCCATTGCTCTGTGCATTAAAGTAGTCTACTCAATTTATATTCACTTAGGAAGTGAAAGTACGCAAATCCTACAACAAATATTAGATGAGAAAATTATCTTTTGTAGATCTAAATAGCTCATCAGAAACTGCAAGTCTATTTGTCCTGTCCCTACAAGTCTATCAACACACTACTTTCATTCTGGACTGAGTGTAGTGATTCAAACAATAACCAAAGAAAGTAAATTGAACAAAATACCCCTTATTTAGAAGTGGCTTAGGCAGCAACTCAAACCAACAGATTGCAAGAACATGTTACAACAGCAGAATGAAAAGTAAAAAGGTTCATTATTAGACCTTGTGCCATTTCAAGTTCTAAAATAATATAGCCTGGCATGTTAAAAAAATAAAAATCTCAAAATCTTTTACAGAAAGGGGTAATTGTCCTTTTTCTTCCCCCCTGAGGCAGTTAGATAAAGTGATACATTGAAGGTCACTGCGAATCTGAGAATGGAATCTAAACCTATCAGTCTCTCACTCAACATAATTTTTGGTAGACCTGCTAAGTTTATTAATAAATCCTAGATACCACTTCATGGGAATGTTGAGGTTTTGCACTACCTTTCCTCTCATATTCAAGAAGCATGAACTGTCCCATTTTAGGAAAATCACAAATGCATTAAGGTGATCAAAGAAACAATCAAATGTTTACACACTTAACTATGTTTTTCTAGTCTTGTTCATAAATAACCTAACATTTATTAAAAAAAAAAAAAAAACAAAAAAACCAAAACCTGAACACACCCCAAACACAGCACTTATCTGTAAAGCTAATAGTAAGTGCTCATTAGAGGAGACAAAAATGTTTTTCTCTACATTTATTAGTAGAAAGAGTCTCAATAAAGCCACATATTAGTTGAAATGCATAACCTCACTGTGGCTTTGAAAGAACAAAAAAGTTATTCTTGGAAAAATGTTTTATTTGCATTTTAAAATTAAATGACATTTAGATTCCTATAATTCACAACCCGTAAACTGTAAACATATTAACAAGACAGAGGCAGGGGGAATGTTGTTTTACCAGGTAGCGATAGTATGCATCTCTTATAAAACTCAAAGATCTCTCAGGAGACAGTGAAGGTAATGAGAGATGCATTTATGTCCACAGACTGTCAAAAATATATGATAAAATTTGTTTTAATTAGAAGTTGTCAAGATCTTGATCACCTAAAAACCCTGTGATTTCAGCAGGCCGCAAGCTAAACCTCTTTACTACAAGTCATATTCTTCACAGTAAAAGATTCACAGAAAACAAACCGACATTCACCATTAAGCTATCTGTTACCTCCTTTTTGGCTTCTTTTTTGGGATCATAATCACTATCGTTTCCATCCATTGGATGAGCTTCTTCTACGTCATCATCACTGAGGACAGATTATAAGAAGCTGGTCGTTTTATCTATTTTTTTTATCCCCAAATATAAATATACATCAGGCAGAGTAAGACAGAATTACCTAGTCTAAAATATCTACTCTAAGTATATGGCATCTCAAAGTTATTTGTAGTTTTCAAAAGAGAGCTGTTAAAAACGTATCTCCTTTATTAAATTCTAATAACTATTGTGATAAACAAGCAATCCTAAACTGTAGTTTCAAAATTACTTTAAGTAGTGCTGGTACTGTTGCAGAAAAATTTGGTGTCACCTTTCTTCAATTCAACCACTTGTGCCAGCATGAACACTTACATGGTCAAATATACCAAGGCTAGAAATAACCTTTCATTTGCCATGTTTGTTTTAATAGATCAATTTTCAAACCACTGCACCAGGTGGATGAATAAACCCTTGTTGAAGTCTGTGGGGATCAAAAGGGGACAATATAAGATGGGAAAACACAGGACTGCTTTTTCACCAAAGTGTTCAAGATCTAGCAATTTGGAGGAGGGGAATGACATCTGCTGAATTATATCAAAGAGAAAAGGTTGAAGAGGTAACAGTTTAGTTGAGTCCAATCCAGTCATTCACACAATATAATTTCTGAATAAATGAATGTCAAAACACCACAAAAATTTCTAGTTATTACAACCCCCCCAATATACTGTATTAGAGGTAAACTGATTTTCTTCTGTAATTTTTCATCTATAGGGTCACTAAGTAAGCACACGAATTTTACATTTCAGGAGTTCTTTTCAATAACATATAATTAAATAGACCCTTTTGCTCCAGCCAGGCAGTTTTCCATAGATGTAAAATCATACTTTCCAATATAAATGTGATTATGCTACTTATACATTCAACATATTAAATCATTTTTTAAAAAGTGCAAGTTAATACTCAAGTATACCAAGTGCAATATAATTTTAATTTCATAGTAACTAGGGCAAATGTCATTCCCTTCTATCCAAGATGATTCAAAACTATTTTGAGCTCTAATTCTCTTTGACTGACAGTGGTTCCAAGTCTCTCAAAATAAGATTATTTTTTTTTTATAAAGTTTTGTTATAAAACAGGACTTGGGCATTCTAATCACTACAGCTCTTTACAGTGGTTGATGTTTCAGTTTTAATTCAATTCTAGTTCAAAAAAACACCAAACAAAAAAACCAAACAACCCACCAGAACAAAACCAGAAAACCCCCACACCCACAAAAACACTCTCCTCCCCACACGATATAGGGTTAGACTTCTCAAATAAAGCATTATTTCTAAACCATATTACCAGGCTCCAGGTTTTTGTTAAACCTTTGTTTTCACAGTTATCCATTAAAGCACTCAAGTGTGTTATTACAACTCACACCGACTGGAATGATATAGTTCTTGAAGCACAGGTACCAAACCCCTTGCTAAAAGCAGAGACATCACCACAGATGCTCAAACCTAAAAACATGGTTCACACTGAAACATAATGGCTGGAAATTACTCTGACATCTCTACCTAGAAAGATTTTAGTCTCTGGTTAGCTACTTAAGAATATAAATCTTACCTGTCACCTTGATTATTTCTATTAGCTAGTTTTCGAGCCTGACGATCCATCAAACTTGTCCTAGAGCGAGTTTTTTTCCAAGAATAGTAATATTTTACAAGGCTTGCAATAGTCTTGTCTGGAAGCTAGAAGAATTCATTAACACTTTAATACTTAAAAAAATTAAAATTCCATCCAAGATTATAATTCTGCTCTATTTACAACCATCTTTACCCAAATATTTCAAATGCATGTATGAGATGGAAGGGAGGGGTATATTTAGCATACATGGTTAAAAAAGGGGGAGGAGGAGAGAGGCTTTTTTATTAGAGTGAAAAAGCTATAGGTCCAAGAGACATGATGAAATTAACTTAAATCTTATATTCAAGGTTGTTCCTGACGCTTTTACACAGAAATCAACATGAAATTTTAGCCCAACAGGAGCTCTTGTTCTTAGTGCATCTGAACTGTTTATTGCTTCTGATTAAAATATTACTTTACCATTTGCTGGATCCTGTGAAAGCTCTTTCCATGGAAGCTAAATGCTTGTTCAAATAGGACTTTATCTTCAACTGTCCATTCGTCAGGGAAAGGAGTGAAGTTAGGGAGATCCGCAAGGGACTTCTCAATATTGTGTTTATGCCAGAACAACATGCCGAGAGCCTTTGAAAAGAAATAGTCCCTTTTTGGTTTCAGTCAACTTTCTAAAATGCTGAGACAAGTTAAATAAAAAAAGGCAATTTATTTACTTAAAATAAAATTTGACTATCAAAACCCCTTCTCAAAATGTATTTACAATTTTACTGCTATGTACTATAGGTTACAAAGTTCTCTTTGGAGACAATATGAAGAGTGGGTACATCTGTACTTTATTAAAGGTATGAAAGCTAGGAAATTTAAGGTTGGCATGGCAGCAGTAATTCTGAAGTAGCATGAACTAGGCTGATAGGCTCAAATCTGACCTGCTTTCTTCCTTTACAAGCATGGATCACCTACACAGTTCCTTATAGGTCTTCAGGCCTTTACTACCAGCCCACTCAAAAAAAGAAAAGAAAAATACTTTTCAGCAGCCAGAGGATCATCCAAAATGCAAGTCTGAAAGTTCAAAGTGAGAGTGGTCTTTCTACAACTCTCCAATCCACAAATAACAGCACGGCCACTTCCATGTCATGTGCACCTAATAAGGAATGGAAATTTAAATATACTTTCTTATATAATTTCATTTCTCGATACTCTTAAAAGAATTTTATGCTGATTAGACTTTCTGCCAGTGAATCAATGACAGATCTGATGTCAAGTCTGGCATAGGAATTGGGAAATGTAATCCACTCAATTTCAACCATACAGTGCAGACGTGATCACCAGCTGTTCATCAGCTCTCCAAACCCCTGATTTCACATCTTCTAATAATCTGGACACAGCAAACCTTTCTTCTTGTTAAAATGGCAAGTGACGAGCACCTCTTGCGAAGATAATTTCTATTCCACTGTGAATAGGCTACAAATATTTTGTACCAGAGGTTGTTTTGAAAATCCGTCTGTTCTGCAGACTTATTTTGAGATCCTTCAGTTCCCTATCTCTCCTAACAAAAGCCAAGCCATAAACAAACATCACCAAACTGCAGGCATTCTGCACATCGTAACACTGGCAGCCTCTTTTTCAGATAGCAGTTGACTAGCAAGTCTTTGCTATTACGAGCTTCCATCCTCCAAAACTTGACCATACAACTTGTTTGCAATTGTACACCAAATATTTTTTTGCAACAGGTAATCTCACTTTTACATAAATCAGTTAATTTATGAAGAAAATTGCAACAGAACTAAGTGCAGACCATCAGGTTTTATCCTGTACTTTTATGGGATGGTGACTAAAGGTTATGAAAAAAATTAACTAGTTTTTTACTCTCAAACCTAGAATTTGATTCTGTTTTCCTGCCTCTCAAAAAACACTCAAAGTTGGTTTGTCTCTTCTTTTTTTAAATATGCAAGAAACCTTTCCAGTGCTGTCCCTATCACAATTAATGGTTCAAAACTGTACCATATTTGAATTCCAATAATAAATATTAAATTTCTAAGCTGCTTTCCTAACAAATTCTTTAGCTAAATATACACACACAATTGCATGACATGCCCAGTGTATCAAGAAACATACCAAACCTTTCAAAAGTGCACATTACAAGCTGAGCATGTCATGAAAACAAAGAGCTCAATCTTTTGCAGAGAATCCAGACCACAACTGTATGCAGATCCATTTAACTGCAGTGTTTGCTGCCGTGCCTGAAGAGAAACAGCGTTAATTAATGGTAACCAATGGAAAAAAAAAGAGTTGTGTTGTACTTTTTTATAAAAAAATCCTTTAAATGAGCACTCTCATTTCATCGCACTTACCTGTTCCACATTGTATCCATGTTTTTCCTTTGCTATTGCTATATATTCATCCACTGTAACAAAGTAATTATTCAGAATTATTCTTTAGTACTTTTCGTTCTGCTATAAGGTGACACAGAATTAGCCATCTAACGTGTGAAAACAGTCTTCCCATGCTTTCATACACTGCATAGGCCCAGGTCCCCCAAAATGTTAAATATATGCATAGCTTTATTAATAATAAATAAGCCCACTGTCTTTAATCCAACATTTAATTTTATAAACTTTTTACACAAGCTAATTCTCAGTGAAAAAGATGCTTTCTTTCGCATTTCTACGACAACAAAGCCACAGAGGCTCATCATTTATTTATTTAAATCAGAGGCTAGCTGGTTGTTGAAAGGCTATGTCTTCTTGGCATCCACTCCTAAGAACACAGACAGCCTGGAGGGGGTGTCCAGACACCTGGGTTACTTTTAAATTGAACTACTTCTACTATTGCAAAGCATGTTAAAAATTAATGTAAAGAGATCCTAGATCAATCATTACGCATATCCTTGATATTAACATAGTTTTCACTGACCAACATTAATATTAACCATGGCATGAAGTCAATTTTCAATAGAGAATATGAAAATTCAATAATTAGATCATCAAATTTGCCAATAACATTTTTAAAATTGTACTTGGCCATATTAGAGCCAGCTTTGAGTTGAACACTTTCCATCATTTTGCAATCAAGTCCTGCTAGTTTTGATCTTCGATGGGTACTTTTTTATTTTTAAAGAACCAAACTCCTCCCGTTCACCTTCTACAGTTCACAATTAAGTAGTAACAAAATGTAGCTGAAAGGAATCATGATTAAGAAAAGGAAATTATTATATCCTCATTATTCAAATGGACCAGAGATGTCCTTGCCATGAACTGTTACAGCAAAGTTAATTGTACTTTAAAGGAATTAAGAAAGTGTTTAGTAATCATAGTTGTAAAGTATTTTATTTCTGACTGTTCTGTAGTAGTGGAAGGTATGTTCCCTCAAATGTAGAGGGACATAAACCTCTAACCACTGGTAACAAGGAGAAACTGCCCTGAGGACCAGGTTCTCACAATCACATCCTCTAAGTTTACTCTCCTATATTACATATGGGAAATTCTAGCATAAGAAGCAGGTTTAAACTAGATTAAACAAATAATTGATCACATTTAGTCAGATGACTCATGTGTTTCAGGTCACTTCCGAAGTGAGAAAATGCTTAGTTTTTCCTGATAAGACGGCAATAATAATTTTCCATTGAACTGGGCCTCAACACATCTTTTCTGAACTTATCCACTGCAATTCCTTCTCCTAGAAATTTAGAGCAGCAAGTTCCTTGTGTTTAGATTTTTTTATTATTTGATTTATAAAACTAAAGGTTTCTCAGACACTGATGATGATACAACACACAGGCAGTGTGATTTGAAACAAAGACTTAACTATAAAATAAGAGAAGGTGATCTTTCCTTTCCCCTGACTTCTCTAAATAAAAAAAGAGAAGCTTTGTGTTTAATTTACTAATTTGCAATTTCAGCGTGTGTAAAATTGACCTGGTTTCCGCTGGGATAGAGTTAATTTTCTTCCTAGTAGCTAGTATAGTGTTATGTTTTCGATTTAGTATGAGACTAATGTTGATAACACACTGATGTTTTTAGTTGTTGCTAAGTAATGTTTATAGTAAGTCAAGGATTCTTCAGCTTCTCATGCCCAGTCAGCAAGAAGGCTGGAGGGGCAAAAGAAGTTGGGAGGGGACACAGCCAGGATAGCTGACCCCAACTGGCCAAAGGGATATTCCATACCATATGATGTCATGCCCAGTATATAAACTGGGGGGAGCTGGCTGGGAGGGGCAGATCGCCGCTTGGGAACTAACTGGGCATTGGTTGGCAAGCGGTGAGCAATTGCATTGTGCATCGCTTGTCTTGTATATTCTAATTCTTTTACTATTATCACCATTATTATTATTTTTTTCTTCCTTTCTGTCCTATTAAACTGTCTTTATCTCAACCCATGAATTTTACTTTTTTTTTTTTTCTGGTTCTCTCCGCCATCTCAGCGGGTGTGGGGGGAGTGTGCTAAACCATGGGCTAAACCATGACAAAAATAAAGAGCGAACAGGCACATCAGAAACAGTTATTTAGTTATACTTAAGCATCCAAATTCCTAAGCAGGGAAGGACTCACACTTGGCATCTGGAATATTATGATATGGAGACCATACAAGCATCCCTCCATTATCTTTATCAGTATATTTTGTGGCACCTGTAAGAAAAAAAAGTAAGTCTCAGTATTTATAAACATGATCTAGAGAACAACTATTCACAGGACAGTAAGTAAAAGTCAACCATACTAAGAAGTCCAGCCCAGCTACCGAGGGGGGAAAAAAGAAAAAATCATTAATTCCTCATTATTTCCTTGAGACATCGAATGGTTGAATTTGAACACTACTCTTATGAGGGTCAGTCATAACCGGATATTAGAAAGGATCCTGGTTTCCCAATTGGAGCATTAAAGTGCATTGCTAAAGTTGGCACGGATGCAAAATTTCGAGGTACTTGCGTTGGAACAGTCCTCCAGAAGTTATCATTGTCCATTAGTACTCTAATATTTATCACTATCATAGGAATATCAGGATCTACTACGTTAAGTTAGGCTTCCTTAAAACAACACAAAAAAGAGATAGGGGGTAGAATACAGTCACCATTCCTGATCCTTTCAGCAAGGAACTATACTAACAACTATGCCAGAAACAATTCTGTTCGTCTCTCTAGTTTTGATTTTCATAGTCATGTAATTTTGATACTCATAGCCAACCAAATTGTGTAGCCGTAGAAGGTCATCAGGTGTAAAAAGTCATCTTTTCTTGGTTTGGTTGGTTTGTGTTTCACCTCCACCTCAGTGTAGGAAGGGAAGCAGTCCAAGTTACCTAACCTATCACAAGGACAGAGCAACACTGATGCAACTTTGTACAAAGCACTTAATCATAGTATTTGATTTTTAAAAACATGCTGTAAAAGAAAATTCCCCAATACTCAAAAAGAATTAACTAACAGTTACTCTTCATGAATATTTTACAAATGTATGCTACTACATAGCGCCTCCTACAATCTATTTGTTTACAACTCAGTTTTTACCGCAAGTAAATGACCGCTAGCCTGCACTCCACTCTAACTAAGAGATGAAGAGAAAACAGGACCACTAGAGAATGCATCAGAATTTCAGGCTGGGAGCAAGAAATGTCTAAACTTAACAAGAGTCTACCCTCAGATTTTCCTTCTAAAGAAAGTACCAGACAGACACCTGCAGACATCGCTATCATGGATATTATTAGGCATTAAATATTCAAGTACTAAAGCGAACAAAACTTGGTTTCAGAGTCCTATCGTTTGTGCCTGCAAAAGATCACGTATGCGGTGACAGTGCCCTGCTGGGGTGCCACCCTCAGGCGGGCTATCAAGCAGCTCCCACCAGAACTCCCCTTTCAAAGCAGTGCTGTTTCTCCAGCAGGAACCAGACAGCTGCTTCCATTCAGGTAGCATCTTCACACTGCCAAAAGGAAAGCAAGGATGACAAAGGAAAGATGGGATGCATACAGGTAGCTCAAAGGCATCCTGTCCTCAACACAGGATGTCCACAGCTACAGTACAGGGATCTCTCCATCTCCATATACAGGACCACGATCTACCTTTGAGAACTGCTCCCTGTCCTTTGCGCCCCCAGTATTCAGGTGAGCAGCACTCCCCACCCCGTCGCAAAAAAGGCTGTGCTGTATCTCAAGGGCAACACAGTCTTTTACCTGCAAGGTCTATTTTTATTACAGACAGTGGCTGGAAGTATCAGCCAACATGTTAACCAAAGCATGTCAGAAGAGCAGAGCTGTAAGCGAGTAAGGAAGAGAAAGAGCATGAGCTACATCTCAAACGTAACAAGTCTCCCCCTGCCCAAACCCCACATTCAAGCCACTTTGGAACAGCTTTCTGTACTTCAGCTGCTGATACCACCCAGAGAATGGGGCTAGCTGAAGAGGAGCGACAGGCGCTCTCCACTGCTTCCAGAACAGAGAGGCTGTAGCAGCAAACTGACACTTTCTGAATTTCAGCTTAACATTAGAAGTTAGGCACACGTGGACGATGCTCTTCTGTACCTGACTCCAAGTACTGAGAATAAGATGAAAATCCGGAGGCATACAAGACTTAGTAAGGGCACTGTGGGGCAGCATGGCAACTTAAAAGTGTACTGGTTACCAGCATATAAAGTACCATCATCTGCTTAAGACTAAACTTTGAGAATAGGAACAGAAACTAACAGGAGGATGAACTAAATTTCTAAAATAAAGGATTGGAAATCTTAAAAATAAGTAATTAAACAAATAAAATCAGGGAATGTGAGGACGGATGCATGCAATAAATGGAAAATTTTATATACTTCACCACACCATTTAACAGTTTCAATTTAAGAAAGCCTGTTTTCATATAGGAAGACTAGAAGGAGAAAAGTTATAAGGACGTACACAGAAATGGATTCCGTAAGTGACCTTAATAGGCATAAAACACTCTCTTGACAGCCCCCCCCCCTTGAGAAGAGGGTAAATGGGAAATAAGTATTTCAGTATTAAGTAAGAGAAAGTCATACTAAAGCCTTTCGAAAGTCCATATCTGAGTAGAATAAAACTTCTCTAGCAATCATCTCATGTGTGGACGACAAAACTATGGTGCATCGCCATTGATGGCATTCTCCACTATGCTTTCCAAGAGAATGGAAACAGCCCACAACATAAGGATATCAGCTCTGTAACATCCTGCTACATCTATAGGTGGGTCAGAAAGTATAAGCAGAAACAATTTCACCTCAAAAATATAAATTACTATAGGAAAACCAGCAGGAGGAGACAAAAATACGCAGTGCAGAAGATGGTTTAGTAACTCAGTAAATTAGGTAAGGAGATTTAGGATTTTCATTTTATTAAAACCCATTTTTTGCAGTGAGAAAATGTATCTCATTGCAGTAGTATCTAGCAACAATCACAAATGCTATTTCCCTTACAGTTCTATCTGAAGGCTTGCTTATAGAAAGGGGATCATGGAATAAGGGGTAAGAAAAGAGTATGTTTAAACTAACTTCTCCTAACTGTTGCTTCCAACCACAACCCACTTCTTTCAAGAGACACCAACAGGCAGTTGATTCACTTTCTCTGTTAAAAAGTTCTTATTTTATACATGAACTCAGGTTAAAAAAAAAAAATACTTAGTACCACAACTTTAATCATGAATGTTTTGTTCCTCAATGTATTGTCACAGAGCATTGCTTACGTATATTTTCCGACACAGACTAAGTGAGGCCAAAGGATTGGTATTTATTCTACTCAGTATTCTGTGTGTGTACCAGAGGGCTGACTTTGTACCTTAGACTTCTATCTAGTTTCATCCATCATTGATTCCCTTCTCCCACCTATTGGTTTTAAGTGGGTTAAAAAACCAGCACTGAGAATACTCTAAATAAATACAGATTCTAACATATCTGGTAAGCCCTCAAAAAAAAAGGATTAAAACAATTCCAAGAAGAAACAGCATTAAAGCTACTTAATTAGAGATAGTGCCTATGTCCATGTATGCAAACCTAGAAGTATGACAGTGTCCGTCGCATCATTTGCTACCAAAAAAAAAAAGTAATTTAAGTGTAGCTACGATAAGAGCACAGCTTTTTGTCCATCATTACTTCCATCTCTGAGAAATGATGCCTCAAGACGCATCAGGAAAAAACAACAAACACAAACCACAGATGAAGGCATGAGGTCTTGCTGAGATCTCCTCAGATAACCAATCTGCTAATGTGGTAAGTATGTATTGTGCTTTTACACTTTGTGGATTTTCTTTTTTTTTTTTTTAATGTTATAATACTTAGGGGTTCCAAAAAAAGTTACTATCTTCTCACCTTAATAATCAAAATACACAAACTAAGAAGAGCAATGCTATACATTATGCCTCTTACACAAGACTTATTAAAGAAAGATTTCCATTATTAAGGAAACTGATAAAGTCAAGGAGTATATATTAATCCCAGTTATTGGGGAGAGGAGCATCAGTTGAATTCCACCCCCCAGGAACACTTAGGAGCTCTAAAAAGTATGGTTATAAGAGAGCATAAAATTAGTTCCGCAGTTACAAACGCAATGATTCTATTGCACATATAGTTTACAAAACTGAAACCACAGAACCCCAGTTGTCCTACAAGGGGTGAAGAGTTCTTTAAAGAAAAACAAACACTATGTGTTTTTCCAATTTAAGTGGCCTGTAGGAAAAACAAGGCCAGGCTGCACGTTGGAAACGATTCTTTTTATTTATGTTTATTTTTATGTAGGCAATATAAAAATAAACGGTGTAAACAGTTAGTCTTATTAACAAAGAGACACGGACTATGTGCTCCTTTCTAGAGAGAAGGCATTCCCATATGCCAAGATCATGCATCCATTTAATCCCACCCTCCCCCTTTCTTTCTCCCCCGGCCTTTTCTTTGGCCTGTGGGGACTTGTCCCCACCAAGGGGGGCTCGCTCCAGCTTTAGGAGGCTCTATGTGAGAAGCTCTGGCCCAGTCCTCTTCCGGTAGGAAATCATCTGACACCAATGGAGCCTGTTTGGAGAACAGGAAAGTAGATAGGCTTCATCTGACCACTACAGCAAAACTGATAAATGCTCCTACGGTCTCACTGCTCAGTGTAGTAACGCAAGAGAGCATTCTAGCAATTAACTTGCTGAAACCGAGTACCAGGCGATGCAAGCGCACCCAGTGCTCCTCGGGGCGGGGCTGGGGGGGTGAGGAAGGAGGAGGGCAGCGGCTCAGCCTGCAGCAGCGGGGCTAGCCGGGCTACTACGGCACACAAAACCAGGGCCAGGAGTTTCCCACCAAGCGCATCTTCCACCCCGCGCCTCCAGCACGCAGCCGGCTCCGCTCTGCTTCCGGCGGGGCCCACCGCTTCCCACCCTCGCCCGAGAACATCCATCACCCCTCGTCACATATTTTTTAATCACCTTGCTAATATATT